TTCCCTAACAGGTTATAAATTAGCCCTTTCCTTCCCCAGAGAACTACTTTAATTCACTTTCCTCCTTTTTTCTTTTCCAACAAAGATTCCTATTCTTTGCAAGCATCTTTCCTTTCAGAGATGATACAACACAATTAAAGCAATCACTTTCAACTTCTATTTAATTTTGAAATCTGCTGCTTTTATTTCAAATTTTAAGAAAGACCATGTGCTAAAAACTTTTTCCAGCTCTTCTGTAATAAGCCTATGGAAGACTTATAAGTCTTAATAGACATATATAATAAGTCCAATAAGAGAGATTACCTGTATATATAACCTTTATCTTGCATATACGGATTAAAACTATTTCAGGACTTGCATGTGCAGCATCTGAAGTGAAGCTCAACTTTTCCTGTTGGCTATGCATTTTGATGTTGGCTTTGTCATGTTAAAGTAGAGCATTTTTGTTCAGCACTAAAACTTAAAAATTAATATACAGCGTGTTGCAACGTGCAAATATATTCCTTATTATGTCTCTGACTCATCAAGTAAAACAATTTTCTATTCTTAAGATAACACTTGTAGAATGTCTCTTATGATAATGGCAGTAAGTGTAAGAAAAATAACTAGAATAACAGGCTACTTATTGGCTGGGTTAAAAAAACAAAACAACAGCAAAAAACCTGTTCCTTTAGAAGCCTAGACAGTTTTAATGGATGTGGTGTCTTCCACTGGTATCTGTATCTCCATTTGAAGTATAAAATAACCAAGTTTTTTTTGAGGGCTCCAGAAAACTTTGTCTCCTACCCTCTTTGTCTTAAATTTCATTAAGAATAAAGGTAAAACACTGTAGTAAATGTTAACCAAATAATAATGGTGAAAGGAAAAACATAGCTAGTTTGACTTTCTCTGGAAAATACTCTGTTGTGCAGCACAATTGTGGCTGTATGGAATACGGACGTGAGTGGGATACTGTTTGTGGTGAAAGTTGATACCTTTTACTAGAATGATTAGTATAGTTTTAAAGGTAGGTAAACGTTCAAGAAGAACAAACTTTCTTGAGGGTTTGAAATAGAAGTAACAGTTTTCAAGGTGAAGTTTAGGCTGACAGCAATTGCTTTCAGTTGATTAGGCATGCATGATAGGTTATTAGAACCTTTAGGACAAATAATCACTTGTCATTTTCAGATCACAGATGTTTCAACTAGTAGTGGGGGAAAATCTGAAGATCTTATGAAAACACTTTGTCCTGAGTACATGAATCTTAATCCCCAGACTTAAGTGTTTTGTAATTCTTGTTTTCTGGGTTGAGGACTGTCAGACTGGAGAAAAAGGTGGTGGTGTTCTTAAGTATGTTCTTCCCTTAGTAAATTGTTTGTCTCTTACTGATTCTATATGAAATGTGTTTTGGTGTGTGCTTTAGTTCCAGGGCCCTGTGCTTTCAGGAGTGCTTTTCGTGCACTATATGAAGAGTATTACGTTTGCTCAAAATCCATCCAAAAACTGTTGTTCAAACAGTGTTAAAACTCTCACTACTACTTTCACTGCAATCTTAAAGCACGCTCCTGCCTGGCTTGTTAATAGGATACTCCCTTTCCCCTCCCTGTTTTCCATAGTATTTTAGGCTTCTGTTTTGAGGGTTGGAAGGGGAAGAAAGAATGTTATGCTACTAAGTCAGAGCATGCTAAAATTCCTGTCTTGCTTTTTATTATCACAAAAGTTGACAGTTTTGATTTTAACAAAACCTACCAGCACTCTTGGGATTAAGAGAATTTGTTGTTTAGCTGGGTAGAATTTTTACTTTCTAGTTGTCTGTTTCAGTATCCTATTCCCGTACATATTGTAGCTTCCAGTCCTTGAACAGGACAATACAACTCCATACCCTTTCCCTGTTTGGCTGTGGTACTTTTTCCACTTGCCTTCCCTCTCCCCTAAAAAGGTGTGCAGTCCCAGACAATTAACCATGCAAGGTATACTGGCATTTCTCTAACCCTGGGATCTTGGCCCAGAATTTGACTGGTTTGGGTTCTGGCAGATATCAATGTAACAAATGTCAGATGTCTATGCACTTGTGTTTGTGAGCCAACTTATAAATCTGCGCGCTATCAGCTCTCACTGGAACTGCTTTATACTAAGTCAATGTGCTTTACATATCATTGTTTGGGAACCCTCCTGCTAGCAATAAGAGAGCATATGCAAGCAAGAAGGGCTCACTCAGTAGAACCAGCGATTACTAGACTGCAGAATCTCACAACTGAGCAACAGTGCCAAACAGGAATACTGCAGTCTAAAGTGTGCCTGAAAAACTAGAACCAGAGGCAAGTCCTGAATGCTGGCTAAACACAGCAGTCTTGAAAGCACAGATTTCGAAAGTGATTAGTGACCACTTGTTTGGGGAAGGTAGGAGAGAACATAATACTCTAAAATGCATATCATGTCTGTTTTAGAACAACTCTCTGGCAAAGCAGAAGCTGCTTTGTTATAGAGTTAGCCCTAGAATGCTTGCAATACCTACAAAATATAAAGAATAGTGTCTTTAGACATGAATCTTTTCTACTGGATTTTGAAAAATAGCACAAAAGAATACGGAAGCTTAATATACCACGCTGTCAAGAAGCACAGGAAGTGAAGATGCTTTATAATACTTTATTGTTTCTATGCCTGTGAAACAATCTCCCTGATGTCTATCATGGAATGAAAGCACTGAAGATGTGGCTAATGCTTATTGCAAAACACCACTTCCCTTCCTCCCTCCGTCCCCTTAAAACCAGAAAGTGCTGACAATTGACTGCATAAGTAATAGAATACACTGTCACAGTGAGCACCTGATCCCCTGATCATGAAAATTGATATCTGGAGTGAAATTTTATTTGGATTTAAAATATTTTTGCAGCACTAATCTAAACTTTGCTAAGCTCTGCAGGTCCTTGGTCTTGTGAGGAAAGGTTTTGATTTATTAGATATTGTATTAAAATAGTGTTTTAACTTGGTGCTCCTGGAGGAGTTAACTTCAAAACAAAGTGAAAAAACACCTTTTTAAATGTTTTTTTTCTCCTTTTCCCCTTGCAACCTACTGCTGTTTTGATCTATTTAATTTGGATTACAAAATGATTACATATTAGACATGAAATATCTAATGATTTCATGTCTATGATTACATGAGTATTTCAGAAAACATATTACTTTAATATACTTGTAATTTGCGGAATAGCATGCATGTTCATAGTGCTGAGTCGTCCTAATCGATGCACAGTTTAAATGGCAAATAACTACTAGAAAGTGCCCTGAAAGTAGTGTGTGTATATGAATACTTGCAGGAATTCTCACTCCTAGCTCTCGGTCTAAGCAACATCAAAATGGTTGACTTTCAAGAAATGTGGCAAGTGGCTGGAATCATATTTAACCAAGTCTTTTGTTTACAGCTGAGTGGTTAGTTGTACAGGAGGAGATCTTTTGGGCTGCAGCAACTTAAATGATAAGAATTGCTCTTGGTCTTTTCATGTAGGTCTTAATTAGTTGCCAATAGTGTTTGTATGTAATTATTTTATATAGATTAAAGCAGCTGAATGTGAAAACTTGAAATCAAATTAAACGTTCACCTTAGACCAGAGTTATCTGCCACTATTGGCCTAGTAAAGCAAGGCCTGTCACTCAATATCTAGGCATTTGTATCCTGTTACATAGTGTGTTACATGTAATACTGCATTTTCAATGTCACATATGGGGTGGTGCTTTAGATATCAGTAGCATGAATCCTGTTTCTTGGTGAAAACTGGAAAACTTGCTGCAATTACAAAATTACTTGTTGTGTGCATTCTAGTGGTCTCACACAAATAGAAGAACCTTAGTGGAGAAGGTTTAACAGCATGAGGTGTGGGCTGATGCATAGATCAAAGAGCAGGGTGCAGAGGAAAATGAGAAGCTTAGCTATGAAAGAAGGGAGTAAGAACAGGTTGGAAAGAAGCAACAGGTACTGGAGGACAGTAATGGTGGAGAAGTTGGCATGGGGATGACATAGAAAGTAGTGGTATAGAAAGGCCTGCAATAAACACACGGGTGTGAAAGCGGGGATTATGATGGAGAATAGACAAGACACCAAGATTTGGGAGCGAGGGGAAAGCAGATACAGCATATAATGAAGTATGGGTGTGCAGGGAGATTAGTAATTGTTAGTCAGAACTTTGGAAAGGCAGAGGACAGCACAGGAGGGAAGATCTGGGGCTAGAGATGAAGAGCAGGTTAACAAGTAGTTGGTGAATAAAAGACTAATTCTGAATGCAAAGGCTAGGAGTGTGTATGTAATCCTGCATCCTAAATCTTACCTTCTGTCCATTACTTTGGCTTAGTCTCTAAAAACAGTATCTTTCATTTAGGGCTTCAGTCAAAAGTCTCTGCTACCACTTATTTTTTCTTATATAATATAGGCAGCTTCTTAATGCCCTTCTTTCTTCCTGTGTATATAGCTTGGTTTAGAGATAGAAATTGATTTTTCTGGCTTGTCCAGTGTTGCAGCCTTTAAATATTGACGTTACACCCATCTCCTCTAGTGGCAGCAACAAGGGACAGGGTCAGGTTTCTTTGTTTCTGGTAAACACTGACTGAAGCCCTCACCTCAGAACTGGAAAACTTCAATTAAAATGTCTGATATTCAACGAGCAGATTTTTCACACTCTCACTTGTGAATCACTCGGTTTAAAAAACAGTTCTTTACTGAAAGAAGAAAAGATGATTTCAGGAGTAAAATAAATAGGGCTATATATTACACCTACTTGCTTCTTTCTCAAAGTATAACCATAACTATGGTCCTCTCCTCTGGCTTCCTGGTGAGGTGACTGCTTGTAGCTTGCTTCCCGCTTTCTTCAGTAATACGTCCCTCAGGTTGTGACCCAAATCATATGGCGCAGTTGTGTGCTTTGATTTAAACTGCTGTGAATTGCAGCTCCACTCTGTTCTTGCTGCTGTAGCTGTTTCACCTTACTTTGTTTGCCATTCTTGCCCTGTGGTCACTCTTCTAACCTCTTAGCCAATCCATCTTTGCTAGCCACTTCAGTTCTTTACTTATGTCTGCTCCCTAAGCAAGATTGCATGTAGCATTTATGGGCTATGTAAAATCTCTCTTGTTCTTAGTTTCTTCTTCCACTTAGAGAAGACTTTTTAAAGTTTCTTGTCTGTCTTTTAGTTTAGACCTTCTGTACAACAGTTGCAACCTTCTGTACAACAGTTGCAAGCTATTGCTTACAACTAAGTGTTCACTTGTCTCAGGAATGCTTAGGCATAATTGCTTGGCAAACTTTTACACATTAAATACAGTTATATCAGATGCCTCCACTTTGATATAACTCCTTTGAAAAAAAAATACGATAAACTGATGTGCAAATTCTGTTAGTGCCTTATTCTTTTCTTCTGTCCTCCAAATGCCAACAGAGCTTTCCTTTTTTAAAGTTACTGCCAAGCTGTAACTCTTCTTTCCTGGGATGGGGATGGTGGGGAGGTACACAGAAGTATAATCTAATCATTTTGTTAGGGAGAATAGGCCAGAAGCTGGATATAAGATTGCAGCATATGCTGGATATTTAGTTGTGGTACTAATAAGAGATGTACTTGTGTATATTGATAGATCTCTTCACTGTTCATGTTATTATTTTAGTGTATTTGTTAGATATGTATAGCAACACTAACTACTTCATGCTAAAGTCTAAGTATATTCACCTGGGAAAAACGCATTTTTCTTGGACTTATGTTTTCCCAGGTGTTACTGCTTGAAACAGGTTAATAGAGGTATATTTGCTGCCTTTGGAATGTAAATGCCTGCAATGCTGAAAACTATGTATTCTCTTATGATTAAATATCAACTTTAACAGGACTAATACATACATAAAGTTAAGTATTTGCAAAAATAAAGTTCGATATGGGTACCTGTTATTTAAAGATCAGGAACAAAGGCTACATATTCTAAAAGTCAACTATAAAGCCAAGGCAGTGGAAGAACTTTTAATTACAAGTAAGATTACAAGTAATTACATTAAATTACATATTTAGATTATATCAGGCATTTTAAAAATACATTAAAATATATATATACACACGTATACTTTTAAAACTATCTTGAATACAAGATAATGCTTTTGCTTTTTTCTGTTCTATTAGCACCATGGAGATTTCACAGTATCACTTAGTGATGTGGTGGAAACTTGGAAATATTTGCTACATGACAAACTGGGATTATCACCTGACATGGAAGAACCTGAAAATTACGCTGACCAAAAGAAAGCTTACCATACCTTCTTAGCAAACAGCAATATGTTAGATGTAATAGACATATGCCAGAAGTGTTATGAACTTGCACTTGTGACTGAAAATGAAAGCATAGCCCCTGTAAGTATTTTGTTTGTTCTCAGATACTGTTTTGATATATGTCTAACTCTAGTTATGGATTTATAATACTTTTAAAATACATATAAAAGCACAGAATTATTTATGTTACTCACCTTTCTATGCAGAAAACAAATGAGTTTAAATTGCTAAATCTTTTAAAGGGATCTTAAATCCATTCCAAAATTATTTCTCTATATCTGTGCTGGATGAACCTCACAGTTTATCTTTAAGAATATCTTTCTTTTTCAGAAACGGAACTGAAAAATGGACTACAGAAATTTGATACAAGTAGAAGAACACTTAGTGATTAACATGTGCCTTGGAAATTTGGTTATATATTGACATTCAGTCAAAATATGTGCAATGATTGTCACTTTAAAAGTACCCACACTCTTAAAACAAAAATGCCTGTGCTACATGTAGTTCCATGTTATATTTTTTTTTCTGGACACCAGAAGAGGTTCCTCTTCAGCCACTCAGTCCAACATCTTTGTAGTTTGTTGTCACTCAAATGTTTTAATAGCGCTGCATGTGAGACCATGCCCTAGGCTAGATAAATTGTGTATATTCCACCCTTAGCATACACATTAGACTGTGAAAGTAATATGAATTTGTTTATCAGATCAAAATATATGCAAGTATCAATTTAAGATATGTTTGAGAGAAACACAGGCATACCACATTATTTTATTTGATTCTGTGTTCTTTTACTGCTCATTCTCTTAGCGTTGGTAGACTTAACCAAATTACTATTCTTTCATCTTCTAAATTTGCATCAAGTTCAATTAGATGGTCATTTTAATATGAGGGAAGCTATATAAGTAACTGAAAACTGAACAGTAGTTGAACTCAAGTGTTAATTATGAACATACCATTGCTTATTTACACCATGATTAAAAGACTGTTTACCTTCCAGTCCTAGTAAGAAGGAAAAACTTTTTCACCATGTAAGTGGTCAAATATTGGAGCAAGTTGCCCAGAGAGCAAGTGAGATGTCAGTCTCTGGAGTTATTAAAAACTTGGCTTGACAAGTCGCTGAGCAACCTGGACAAACTGGACCTACTTTAAGCATGACGTTTGACTAAATGACCTGCAGAGGTCCCTTCTACCTAAATTATTGTATGATTCTATGACAAGTATGCTCGTGGCAAGCTTGCCTACTTCAAAACTTCAATGAGCCTATACCCAAACAATCTTAAAATTATTAGACTTGAGAGATTATCAGGAGGACTGAAGTTCAGATGAGGCAGGGAAACTGAAAATTTTTTGCTATTTTTATGTGAAAAATAGAGGACTTGAAGATTAATGAGCTCTTCTTAAACAGTGTAACATGTTAAATGTTCTACCCAAAGATAAGCAGCTGCTTTTAGTGGGAATGTCTTAATTTCCTATATGAGAGAGCTTTTTGAAGTTAATTTCAGTCCTGTACCTCATTTCTCTCCTAAAACAGTTGTACTTTCACAGACTTTTAAAAAAAAAGTAGCTTGTAGGGCTGCTCTAACCTCAAAACACTAGCAGACTGGAGGAAGTAAGTTTTACTAGGTTTTAATACTACTTTTGCTTTTCACTCAACTTCCCATTTCAGTGTATTCAATCCTCTTTATTAAAGGTTCAGCTATTGGAATTTATTTCTGGCATAATGAATGTACCAGAAAATAATGGTTCAGATACATCTACTCCTTCTACATCAGTCAACAGACAGGACCAGGAGAATGTGAAGGTAAAAATTCTTAGTCTCTTTTGTACATTTTTATATATATGCAGAAGTTAACACAGGATGAAACATAAGTTTCCTTTTTCAATCATTGCTAGTAAAATTGTTGGCTTAAAGCAGGGCATTTGTATTCAAACCCTTATTACTTGCGTGTATTGCAGATGTGTGCACAAGGTTAAGTCCACAAACTTGCACTGTAGGAACTAGTCCTTTAATGATAGCCACTTGATGTAGACTTAATCCGTCTTAAAATACCAGGGAATACATTTTTTTTGCAAGTATAGTTGTTTTTTGAATACCATCTTCACTAAGAGTCAAATCATTTGCCCATTGCTGCGAGCTGAGGTGATAGGTGAAGTAAACTTTCTGGGCTGAATTTTGTTAGCTTATATTCTCTTATGTACAGAAGAAATCTGAACAGCAACAGTATTTGTAGCTATAACAAAGCAAACAAGATCTGCCTGTCCCAGTGAAGGACTGAGGACTTCCTGGGAATACTGGATTCTCTTCTCTGACCCTTTCAGTACCCCAAAATAAGAATCTCTGAAAACTCTATGACAGGTGCCCAAAATACTAGAGCTTTTGTCATTTCCAGACTTGTTTCCCTCATGATGATAAGCAGTTTCAGCGGAGTATTTGAGTATAACTCAGAAAATAGTTCTGAATAAGGAAGCAAGCATCTCCCCAAATGTGTGACATCAGATTGAAAGAACGCTTCAAAGTGAAATGCCCTTTGGTACTTACACATCTGTTACTATGGTTCTTCCCTAGACAGCCTTTCTACCACCAGCATATGGTTTCCTTAGTGATAGAACTCTGCCATGTGTTGTAGAAAATATTCCTTGCCCTTTTTTCCTTCTCTTGAATCTGTCTTCTCAGACTCCATACTGACATATTTTTGACTGTCTACACTTTTGTCCTATATTTCCTGTTGAGCAAGACATAAGTTTTTGGATTATCTTTACTTTCATAAATGGTCTCTTTGTGTGCATGAGACAAAACTGAAAATTCTTCAGCTCTGGGCCTGTTTGTGGCAGTGATCTGGACCCTGTACAACATGAGTAATTTTAATGTTATGTTTGAGTTATGTGGGTGGAGCTGGATTACGATTTATGACAAAGTCCTCAGTGGAGTGTTTGTGACTAAAATCCCTGGGTGCTGAGAGGGGGAAAAAATAGTGAGTCTGAGGTGTAGCTGGAGGAGGGTTTAATAGCAAATCCGTATATGGTTTAATGGTGCTAATATTTTGCCTTGAGATAGAAAATGAATATCTGAAGATGATTCTAAGTAGAAAATTCAAAATAGAATTTGGCAGCTAATTTTAATAGTTAGAGATCATCCAAATACTTTGTGAATGCTCAGGTATACTATATGCAATTTTTAACACACATTCATCATGCTTGCTTTGATCAGTGTTTCTAGAATCCTCATACACAGAGAATTACTTTGAAATTATGCAAGGTGAAATTCTTACTGTTCCAAAAGTCTTATTAGTGTATATTTAGTTCTCTTTTTAAAAAAAAAAAAAGAGAGAACACAGTTTAGCAGTGTGACTAATTAGTGCGATGCTCTTTTATGCAGATGACGCTCTTGGCAAGGAAGCTTGTTTATTCATATTTAAGCTTGCTGGTGAATTCTAAGAATGATCTTGCATTGGCTCATATTCTAAATGTTCCTGATAGAGGACTTGGTAGAGAAGCCTTCACTAACCTAAAGCACGCTTCACAGAAGAGAAAAATGTCCATTTTTCTGGTATGTATGTCAAATGAAACTTTTTATAGAGCAGAGGTAATGAAATGGGTCTATAAGCATGAAATGTTTCTTTAACTTGATGTGCAGAGCTGACATTTCCAAGCCAAGTCAAATAAGGTCTATGAAACATAGTTTCTAGGCTTAAAAAAAGAAAGAGATCCCATCTGAAGGAATGGATTTTTGCTTAGTCATGAGATCTAAAGAGACACATAAGAGAAAAACAAGAGAATTGTTTTTTTGTGCGTATATATAACTCTAGAGCTGTAACAGGTAGTACTACAAAAACAGTAATCAAGACTGATACCCAAAAATGAATGACATTCTTAAAGTTTGGTATTTTAACCATGAATATATGATATTCTTTTTGTCACTTTTTTGAAGACACATCTTGTTAAATATATTTGAGTGAGGTCACAAGCATGCCTATCAAAGAAAAAGGGCAAAGAAAGAATCTATTTTTGCATATAAGGTGTGCTTATACTTTAAGTAGTTATAGTCAGCACAATGCCATCTGAAAAACAGTCAGGATAAGATGAGTAAGAATTCTCAGAGAACCCTTATATTCTCTGATAACCAAAAGAATCAAAGTTTGCGTGCACAGTGGGCTCTGTGTAACAGGCAACGGAAGTCCAAGGAAAAAAGTTCAGATGCAGTTGCTTCAGTGACAGATATGTATTCTCAGACTTTATGGTTGAATAAATATGGAAAATTTGTGAAATTTCAATTCCAGGATTAATTATTTTAGCTCCTGATGCTCTATTAATGTTGTATTAAACAAGGTATGTGTTTAAACTGGATTTTTTAGCTCTTCCTCAGAGTTACCAAAGGGAAAGCTTCTCTACTGTGTAAAGAAGCCTTCCTTTCTGGCATCTGTATCTTGGAGAGTCTTGCAAAGCCAGAATATTTTCCATTGGGAAAGCAAGGTCCTATGAGCTGTACTTTATCCACAGGAAATCTTTAACACAAAGGCAGGAATACTGGCAAGTTTACTTTCGTTGCTAGAGTAATTTCAGTTGTATTCTTTCCAGTCCTAAGAACTTTGTAATTTAGCTATATAGTCTGAAAGTAAAATTTATATGCACGATTGATATTAACTGCATCTATGTCAAGCAAAATGGATTGTTACCTTTACTTTCTTCTTCCTAGAGAAACACTTAAGTTGGCTAGTCTGGCTGTTGCCTTAAAAGTTGAAGTTTTATGCTTTTAAGTTATTCTAGTTTGGGGAGTCCTCTTGTTTTCAGGATCTTAATAAAAATATATAAGAAATATAAGGAAGCTTTCAGAACTCGGTAGCTGTGATAGGAGCCTTAACTTTTCAGAAGTTTTGAGTATACGTTCTTTTTATGTGCACTTTTTTTGTTTTTAAAAGTGCACTACTGATGTCAACGTCTAGATGCTCAGCTTGAAAAATATTCTCAGGCCATCCATGGGCAGTCCTTAGAATGTGAGAACAGTGTTTTTGAGGTCAGCATGTGCATTTAAACAGTGAAATAAAAATTATACCCTGTGCTAATAAAGCTTCCTTTTACATTGGCCTTTTGCCAATTCAAATATCAAATTGGTTGGGTCACTTTCATTTTGGTTTGTGGGTTTTGTATACTGCTGCACAGCTGAATATTGATCTTGCGAATATTTATAGTGAGATGTAAAAGCTTTTTATTAAGAGACATTCTATTGGTTTCAGATTACTTCTGCTATCAACTAGCTGTCATACATTGTTTGCAAGTTCATAGGAGAGGATCACTTTTTCAAAATACATGTGTCTTGGATAGGGCTACTGTTTTGCATTTCTATATATTTTTCTCTTAATAGATGGCAACATCTTTTATCCGAACTGTAGAACTTGGAGGAAAAGGCTATGCAACTTCATTATTTGATCCTCTAAGAGGCCATATAAAGGGGCTTACAAACTTTGTTAATTTTATTGACAAGTTGGAAGAAATTGTTGGTGAAGTCTTGGATCCAAGGTAATAGAATTTGTCTGTCTTGTTGGTGCTTTATTTACTTTTTACCATGTGCGTATGTCTGGAGGAGAGGAAAGAGAATAAAATTTAATTCTTTACTTGTAGACTCTTTCAAAATAAATTTCTACATTGTAAACCTTATTAGAAAATATAAATATTTTGAGGAAAAAATTGGAGTAAATTTTTAGATTTTTGAAGTTTTTCTTGATCTTAAAGAGCCATGCAGGCACTGATTTAGGGAACTAAGCAAATAAATGTTTACCAATTGTAAATGATCCTCCAAAAGATTTCAGGCTTATGCGTTAGATAAATACATAAATTGATATGTTTGTTACTTATTCATAATTTAATTACTTTTTAATAATTTCACTGTACGTACTTGTATACAAAGGAGTTGTCTTTGCTGCTCCTCTTCCTTTGATATCAAAGGCTGACAATTATATTGGTTATCTAGTCTTCTTCCCCCCCCCCCCCCCCCCCCTTACTTTTAACTACGTATGCCAAGTGTAAGAATTTTCTTGGGAAGGCTGTGGTGAAGTTACTGGTTTTGAGTATTTCTGAAGACCTGAGAGTCTTTTGGAATGCCTCATAAATGTTAGATTAATTGCAAAGAGAAGCAAGAGTACAAGAAAGTAATTCCAAGTGGTAAGTGCTGGCATTGGCATTAGGACAAAAAGGACAAATTTTTCTTAAGCATTATAGAAACTACAACTGTGTGCGCTTTTCTGCTTATAATCAGTAATTTTTCTGTAGGGAATTTCAGCAAATAAGCTATAATAGTCCTGTACTCCAATCCTAAAGAAGATTTTAAGTTTGAACTGAGTCTGATCCACATGTGGTTAAAAATAAAAAGTTATAAGCAAACTGTAAACGATACTTAAATTACTGTTCAGATTGCTCTGAAGCTGGAAGTGGGAGGTATTTTTTTTTCCCCCCCTTCTGCTTTTTTGTTCTTTCATTTGAACATCCTGGGTGCTAGAGGTATGTGGTCTGTGTTTGTGATTAAAGGAATTTTTTGACCCAACATCTAATGTATGCTTTTTCTTTGTTTAAATCATGTCTGGCACTATACACTTATAAAGATAAAAAAAATTAGAAAACATCTACGTGCAGCAGTTTATCTCTTTTAGGGCAGAAAGACCAGTTTTTCTAGGCACCTAGAGTTCAGCAAGGGATAACATATGCTATATCTTGTTAATTACCCTTTTATTTAAGGCATGTGAGAAAAATCAGAGTAGGAGAGTTGTTGGGAATTATCAGTTTTAAGTTGAGAGAGTTGTCTAGAATTTGGAAGTTTTTTTCAGCATTGAGCAATTTATTCTGCTGCTTTCTTTTATTTCTGTTGTACTCGCTGTCCTTTTCCTTCAAAGTCCTAGTTCCTATTGTCTTTCTGTTTAGAAAGTACAACAGTCTGTCTTACTTTGGGATATAAATCATTTTAACATCAGATTCTGGCACATTCATTAGGTTGCATGTGTATATTTAGTTGCTATTGGTTGTATCACTGACTAAGAATAGAAGCTAGCTGAACTTGTGTCCAGTATCTGTTACTGGGCTCTGTATGGATTTTATAACTTCAAGATGTGAAATACTATTAATGTGTTTATTTTGATGTGTAGTAGCTTAGTGGTTAGAGTAATACAGCATTCAGTTGACTGTCTTTGTCTTTCTTAAAAGAATCTTTATTAGTATGCTGAAGTTCTCAAAGACTATAGGCCTAGGATATGGCTTAGAAACCTTAAGGAATCACAACACCAGAGGGAAAAAATGCAGTGTTTTTTTTGTTCAAAGTGTTTAGTAAGCCATATGAGTGAGGACTGTCTGTACGCCTTGCCTATGATTTGACAGTTACTATGAATTCCAGAAGAAGCAGTCTTGTGCAGGAAATCTCTTCAGTTCCGTTGCTGCTGTAGTCTTAAGAGCTGGGAGAAAAGGAACAGTACAACAGAAGTTTTCAGATACTTAGTTTTTAGAAGCCTGCTCAGAAATCTAAAAGCAAACTGTGCAATCTCTGTGGCATTGCTGTTTCTCTGAGGTTGAGGTTAGCCAGGGTACAAAATCAGTTCTCAGGATTTGCTGTGTTGAAAGAAAAATATAGTATTTTTTGGTTGTTTACTTCCTTGACCATTCAAAGTCTCAGTTATTGGTGTTACAGTGGAGACTTTATGAAATTTGAACTTGTATAAAATATGAAGTAGCCCACGTGACCATGGAACACATGTCAAAAAGGCACTTTCCTTCATCTGCTCGAATCATGTTCTTTTACTCTGAAAACCTAGAAACAGAATTGAGGATGTTGAACAATGATGGATTGCTTAAGAATAGTTTGAACATAAGACATACGATGCAACCAAGTATGTGCTGATCTATTGAGAATAAAGATTTTTTTTTTGTTGTCTTCCAGTCATGCAGCTAACAATGAAACTGAACAGTAGATGAGTGAAAGCTGTAATATAGAGTGGAAATTTAATGAAGGTATGATGATTTGATTCGATTATGGCACAGAGCACGCTTCTACTTTGAAGTTTGCTTACAAAGGTACAACGAACTTCAGTAGTGTCAGGGAGTATTCACTGAGCAGAACAAATATACTTACAATACTCTGGAATTTTGAACTAGCTGAAGTTTGCTTCTCCTCACTCTACAGATATGTAAGTTTTGAAGAAATCATTGAAACTTCAAAAATCAGTAACATGAGTATTGCTTAAAGTTTTGGGATGTTATGAGACTTGTAACGCTAAAGCTGTTTACAGATTCTAAGTAGAAGATTTACTTGGACAAGCTTTGTTTACAAGTTCTCCATTTACTATAATCTATTTTTTGTGCCTGTTTCTTGACAAGAAACATACCAATGTTGCATTGCCAATGGAGTAGATGATTACCGTACATTGCACATTTTTGATGATGTAAATGAAAAAGTACAATACTCATCCATTATTCTGGAAGTCCTTATCTGTTAGACCAGATAGTAACGCTTCTTGCATCTAGAAAGAAGTCTTCCATTTCTGGAATGACATTTCCGTCAAGTTTGCAAAATCTGTATAGGATTTAAAACCAAATGATGGAAAGGCATTTGTCCTATTGGTGGCTGCACTTGTTGGTACTTTGGTATTCCCTCCTGCCTCCCCCACCCCCACCTGAATTGGGCTGTGACTTCGTGTTAAGCACTAACCGCTAGGTGACACTATTGCACAGCTCACATTAGTAGCAGTTTAAGCCTAAAGGAGCGAGTATGACACTTTGGAGTGGGTCCTCATGTCAGGCCCATTAGCAGTCTTTCACAATTAATTTTAGAAGTTACACAGTTTGACTTGAGCATTCATGTGGATTAGTGCATTGAGCTTTCTCTGGTAGGGAAAATGCTGTTTATCTTGTGTTTTGTCTTTGTGAAGTTGTGATTACATCTGAAGATATAATACTATTCTGGGAAAGAAAGCACATGAGACTTTATATGGTCTTGTGCTGAATGTCTGGGTTAATTCAATATCATTCACTGAGTCTTATTCTTGCATCCTGAAGTTGTAACTTGTGATATGTGCATTTGTAAAGCAGTATATATAGCATTCTTTGAATTTAGGATCATAGAGTAATTCAGGCTGGGAGGGACCTCAGGAGGTCTCAAGTCAAACATCCTGCTCAAAGCAGTGTCAGTTACAAGGTCAGACTAGATTGCTCAGGGTTTTATCTGTCGAGTTGCGAAAACTTGCAAGGATGGAGTTGTGCAATCCCTTTTAGGCAACCTATTCCACTGCTTGCGTGTTGTCACAGTAAAAATTTTTCCTTATATCCAGTTGGGACCTCACTTGTTTCAATTTATACCTGTTATCTCTTGTCCTCCCACCAAGCACCGCTGCAAGGAGCCTGGCTCCATCTTCTTGATTACTTCCTTGTAGGTGTGTATGGATTCATAGAGTAGCTGAGGTTAGAAGGGACCTATGGATATCATCTAGCTCAATCCCCCAGCCCTGCTCAAAGCAGGGTCAGCTAGAGCAGAACTGTGCTGCTGTGTCCTCAGGACTGTGTCCAGTCAGGTTTTGAATATCTCCAGGGATGCAGACTCTACAGCCTCTCCGGGCAATCTGTTTCAGCATTCAGTGGCACTACAGTAAAATGCTTTAATGTCTTCAGATGGAAATTTGTGTGTTTCAGTTTGTGCTCATTGCTACTTGTTCTGACACTGGATGCTGCTGAGAAGAGTCCATCGTTTTTGTTCCTGCCCATCAGATGTGTATACACACTGATTGGATTCTGTCCCCTCCCCTCACCCCAAGCCGCCTTCTCCAGGATAAACTGTCCCAGCTCTCTGACTCTCCTATTATAGGAGATCATCCAGGACCTTAATCACCTCTGTGGCCCTTGACTGGACTTGCTCCAATATGCTCACGTCTCTCTTGTACCAGGGAGCCTAGAACTGGACACAGCACTCCACGCGTGGCCTCACTAGTGCTGAGTAGAGGGGAAGGATCACTTTCCTTGACCTGCTGCCAGCACTCTGCCTCAGGGGACAGCCCAGGATGCCGCTGGCCACCTTTGTTGCAAGGGCACGCTTCTGGCTCATGGTCAACTTGTTGTCTGCCAGGACCGCCAGGGCCTTCTCTGCAAAGCTGCTTTCCAGCCGGTCAGCATCCCGCCCGTACTGGTGCCTGAGGTTATTCCTTCCCAGGTGCAGGACTTAGCATTTCCCTGTGTTGAACTTCACAAGGTCCTTGTCAGCCCATTTCTCCAAGCCTGTTGAGGTCCCTCTGAACAGCAGCACAACCATGTGTTATCTCAACCACTGCCCCCACTTTTGCATGCTCTGCAAACTTGCTCAGGGCACACTCTGTCCCATCGCCCAGGGCATTAATGAAGATAATACACAGTAGGAGCCCCAGTATCAACCCCTGGGGTACGCCACTAGTGACTGGCCTCCAGCAAGACTTCATGCTGCTAATCACAGCCCTTTGAGGCCAGCTGTTCAGCCTGTTTTCAGTCTACCTCACCATCCCCATATTTAGCCTGTT